ATTGGTGGTGATAACTGGTGGTAATGACTGTTGGTAATAATTGTTGGTAATGACTGTTGGTAATGACTGTTGGTAATGACTAATGATAATAACTGTTAATAATAACGGTTATTAGAAACTGTTGGTGTTGACTGATGGTAATGACTGTTGGTAATAATTGTAGGTAATAATCGTTGGTAATGACTGTTGGTAATAATTGTTGGTGATAATTGTTGGTAATGATTGTTGGTAATAACTGATGGTAATCACTGTTGGCAAAAACTGATGGTAATGACTTTTCGTAACGTTTTGTAATAATTGTTGGTAATTAATGTTGACTCCTTCTTAGTAATCACTGTTGGTGATGAACTGTTGGTCAATGGGCACAGTGACTATCCACAAAGTTAACTCCCAGTAATTGACAATAATTCACTGCTAGAGAATAGGCTGGATAATCTCCCTTTCCTCCAACTCCGGCATCTGCTCTTCACAAGGGCGTTGACGGTGATTGTCCTAATTTCAACTCCGGTATTGCATACAGGTCTGGGCCCGATATGATACTGCAACCCAGATAATTTAAAACCACAGCCTTCGGAATGGCAAACGAACAATCTTTCTCTTCCAGGGAAAAACTACTGCACTGGCAAGTTCAGTCCCAGACATGCACATCGTGATAGTGGCCACACTTTCCTTTTTCCTACAACTTTTCATCTAGTTGTGAAGCGAAGAACAAATTCTCCAACTCTTAAATAGACTTTAGCAGCGCATTTCGTAGTGCCAGCTTAAACTCGTGGCAGTAAAAGACACCCAATTGGTCCGTCTTTTCTGTTCGGAAAGACTCACCCTGCAATGGAAAGGCGCTGATATCAAGACAGCTGCGAATCTAGCCATGATCATCATCACTTTGAAACCTTCGATATCACAGCCAATTCTGCGCAGCATCCCAAATCCCGCTCTCAGCAAATTTCACTGCCAGACAAGCTGGTCGAGCCTGTTTGTCTAGATTATACCGCAGATGCTCGAAACGCACCAGCTATTCAGACACTACTGAGGCACGGCTCATCCAAGACTCATGCTCATCAAACACAGAGCTGTTGACTATCAACCACTCTCACCACGCACTGTTTTGGAAGCATGTAGATACGGTCGGACTAAATTGTTCTTAGAATATGTATGTCTTTACGCCGCCGTGCTCAACTAAATGCTTCTTCTTTTCTCCAAAAAACGCCGTGAGCACAGTCTCCTCTGGGGACCCGCCCCCGGATTCATGCTTTCTCGGCTCTGATGTAGAAATAAAAATTGAGGTCGTTTTCGTCTAGTTCTTCAACGTTCTTGGCCGCCCTGGTACAGTCGTCTGCCTGTTCAAGCTCGCTTAGCAGCTCGCGAATCAACATGCCTGTGTAGTTGATGAGATAACTGATCATTCGGTTTTTCGAAGTCAAAAGAAGCGTGGAGAATTTCACGTTCTGCGCGCCAAACAACATCCCCAAGATGGCAATGATGTCTCTCATGGTATCAAAAGTGTAGCTCTCAAGCCAGTCAGCTCTCCGCTTCATGTCCCGCTTGTCGGGCAATTTGAAGAGCCCCGTCTCTCCCAGCCCACAAAGAACCATGGGAAGCTCGAGCACGCCTCCACTTTTTAAAAGACGATGGAACTCGCGGAGGAGTCGCTCATAATTCGACGGCGAGACCTGAGAGCGCATGTCGCGGCACTGGATCACGTGGAACGTATCGGACTGGATGGTGGAGAGCGAGCGGGAGTAGTACTCGAAGTTGATGGGCTTGACTTGAAGCTTGCCGGGAGCCACCTTGTTGCCGTGTGTTTGCTGCAAATCCGCCAACTCTTTGTACGTCAGCCGCTTGAAGGCGGCATAGTCAGCAAAGCCCAAACGCGAGAAGAAGTTTTTATACAACGCCAGATCTTTTTCCTTGAGGGAAGTCCGGGAAGGTGAGTTCTGAGGTTGCTGAGCATGGTCGTCGGAAAGCGGCAGATTCTCGCTCAGCAAACTGGCCTCAAACACGTACACGAACGGAATTGTCACCGCGAGCTGCCACGAGTACGCAGCGCTGTAGGAGCTGTTGAAGACCAAGACCTTCAAGGACTCCTGGTTGCCCAACTGGAGGTTGAGGTGGTGGAGGCTGAAAAGATGGCTGGTGATGCGGCCCTCGATCAAGAAGTCGTTGTTCAACTTGGCCAAGATCTGCACGGCGTACTTCTCCAAGAGCACGAAGTCCACGGCGATCTTGCGGATGGACTGCAACACGAGATCTATGCGCGGCAGCTGGGCCAGAATGTCGCCCTCGTAGTTGTCCGGCTTCAACGCGTGGAGCGCGTCGGCAGCGTGGCCAAAAGCTCGTTTCATGTCATAGTCCCGTTTCTGCGTGTCCGTCAAGTCCAGCGCCTGCCGGGCGGAGCACTCGGGAAGCTTGAGCACGTGCCACATGTAGTTGATGAAGTTGCCTTGCACCAACTGCTCGCTGGCCGCCTTGCGGTAGCACGAGCGGCCGCGGAGCCGCAGCTGCACACGCATGCGCATGATGATTCGGCACTTCAACAACTCGTGGATGAGGTAGTCTTCGATGCGCTGGGCGTCGCCATGCTGCATGATCAGCAATGTGGCCCAATGGCTATCAAGTCCCGCGTTGCGCCGCGTCAGAAACTTCCGCAAGGACTGGTCGCGCACCGAGGCAAAGTTGATGGGGTCGTTCACGTGCGTGTCGCCGATGTCCGCAAGGAAGCTGCTGAAGTTCTGGAGCATGTACGCGGGGTTTAGGAACGCGCCGCGGAGCGCCTTCTCCGTGTTGAAGATGGCCGCGTCTGTGAACACCTCGTACTCCGGGATCTCCGCGTTTTCGGCCTCTTTGTGCACCGCGAGGGCCTCCAAGAGCCGGGGGTAGTCGACCGCCTTTGAGGGGCTTTTCGACGGCGAGAAACTCGGAAGTATACCGGCCGGCGTCAGGTGCCATGACACCTCGGAGGTCATGCTGGCCCGACTGCTGGACATCGAGGGCAAGTGATGGCTGCTGAAACTGCGGCGCCCAAAACTGTGGTTTCGGGCCTGTTTGGGCGCACTTTTGCCGCCGTCCACGCTGCTTCTCACCGACTCGCAAATTCCGGCCGACAGAGCCTGGGTGGAGCTGGGCCCGGAGTAAAGCGACGCGGAGGAGGCCGAATCCAGCGAAGGTTTTTTGACGGGAGGCCTGGGTTTCTTTGTGCTTTTGGCGCTGTGGGCGCTTCGGGCGCTTTTGGCCGCCTTTTTGGGGTCTTGGTCGATTTTCTGTTTCTGCTGGTACAGCATGGTGGGCACGATATAGAAACTCATGGCCGGCACACAGGGGCTGGTGGATCAGATGCAAAAGAACCGATGGCGCAAGTGGAATGGTTTATGGCGTTTCTGCTCAAGGGGATTTGCAACGGATTTCCACGCTCTTGGGGTAGCCTTGTGATGGAACACCGCCAGCTTCTGGAAACCCGAGCTGGTAGGCCTGCACACAGGCCCGTCGCTATGTGAGATCGCCTGAGCCCCTCTTCCAAGCGGAGGTGCACTGCGCCCGCGGCATGCACGCGGCCGGCACGCCGCCTGTGTGCAGGCCGATAGCGTCGCGAGGGTCACTTGGCGCCGCCCCCTGCAAGGCGAGCGGGGGCCAGGTCACCGGCAACCAGGGGCCTGTCCCATGCAGGACCGGCGGCTGATTGCCAAAAAGCGGAGTGGGCCTGGCGGGCCTGGCGGGCCTCTGAAGGGTGATTGGGGGTTCGGGCGCCTGGCGGATTTTTTACGCTGCCCGAGTTTTGATTCTCAGGGCCCACGCCCACGACGGCCCGAAACCTTAATTGGTGGATGCTGATAATACGCGGGAAACGAGCATTCCTGCTTATTGCCTCCGCTTAGCGAATTAAGCTCCTCGTGTGGTTCACTGGCCTTTAG